TAGTAGTAATAGTAGTAGTAGTAGTAGTAGTAGTAGTAGTAGTAGTAGTAGTAGTAGTAGTAGTAGTAGTAGTAGTAGTAGTACCTCACTAGCTGCGATAGTGATTGGATGTAGAACAGAAGAAGGTGTTAAGACAAAAATATCTCCCTAACCACACTCAAGATATTTATCGGTAACTGAAGATGCTTCACAGCCCCAATGACGCAATATAAATTATTCAGGAGGCGGGCTGCTTCGACCATGAAAATCAGGAGCAAGCCGGGTTGGGAGGATTACAACATCCCACTAAACAAACTGGGATATCGAATTAAGAATAAAAATGAATCTCCTCTTAGGGGAATCGAATTCGGATGTTCTACATTCAACGGCGAAATGCACAACTTCTACATCACAGACGATGTTTCAGTACAATTTTGTCTATGATTACCAAATATAACACACCATGAGATGGGTCACCTCCTGAAAATAGTGTGCTCGACTATCAACGCACAATATTATTATAGACGTTGCGCCGTCGCTGATGAAATGTTTGTTTCTTCCCTCCCACTCCATCTTTTAGTCTTCGAATAGAAGTTCTTATTTTGCAATATTTGCTCGCCTTGTTTGTTTTCACAAGGAAGGTCGTTCTGTTCAAACAGTACAAAACGCATAATTATACAGACGCCGCCTCCGGCATTTCTTAGTACAATTTTTTTAAACAGTCCAAATAAAAGCGTGGATTGTATTCCAGCGAACTAAGGTTTTCGGCTCGAAAAATAGCAGAAAAAACAGGAACGAGAACGAAATATTTGCTAGAAATTTCAATGAAATATCAAAGGCGAGCATATAAAAATCACTAACAAACAAATAATACCGTTCTGATGTAACCTGATTTTGCATTAACCTTTCAAAGTAGCCTACTTATTACGTAAAGTACCGTTGTTATTAATATTTCATACTGTGTATTATTGTGCAACAAAAGTCCATTTTTCTGACCGAGGGTTATGTCGCTCTGATTCTCATTTATGTAAGATTTCAAGCATCACTTTTTTTTTCACAACTATAGCTCAACTTACAACAGTAACTAAAGGAAGACATACAGGTGAAGAAATGGAAATAGATTGTGCACACCCTGAGGAGAGCCCCGACAAGCATCATAAGACTGGCTTTAACGTGGAATCCACAAGGAAAACGTAAGAAAAGAAGACCAAAGATGACATAGAGGCGAGTGGTACAAGCGGAAATGGAAAAGGCGGGGACAGCATGGAAACAGCTAGAAAAGTATGCACAGGACAGCTGGAGAAATGTTGTTGACGGCCTATGCTCCACTGGGAGTTTAAAAGGGCAAGAGAGAGAGAGAGAGGGGGAGAGAGAGAGAGAGAGAGAGAGAGAGAGAGAGAGAGAGAGAGAGAGAGAGAGAGAGAGAGTACAAGAGTAACTGTAGAATTTGCCCGAGAGCATTAATATTGTAATATGAGCACAATTAGCGTGACATTTTATTAACAATAAAACTAGCTGGTACATTGTGGCCAGCTCTCTGTAGGAGTGACATTCATTTCCTCCTTGTACAGAGTGCTTGTCAATAGTTCAGATGGTTCCGGGCCTGACTTCGATGTGAATAGTCTGGGTTCGATTCTTCCTTTCTTGAATTTGAATTTTTTAGAGAGTTTTCAAGACCACCGTCTCTTTTAAGTGTAGATATTTCACCCCCCCCCCCCCCAAAAAAAAAAAATTACCTCAACTGGCACAATTTATATTATTCAGGAGGTGGGTCTCCGACCATGAGTGCCAGGACCATCTTATGCTGAGAGGGATACGCCTTCCCAGCAAAAACACCGAGATACCCGATAACATTGCCCTCACCCATCGGGAATGGAACTCGGGCCTCCTGCGAGAGACAGCGAAGTACCTAACTGCTGCACCGTTGACATCGGTACGACCTTGGTGACTCGATACTATTGGTGGAGACAGCTGATGACCTCCAAAAGGTGGGGGGGGGGGGGGGGGCTCCAGTGGTCGAGAGGTTACGGTGTTCGCCTCACATTCCATGGGTCTCGGGCTTGAAACCTGACAGCGGCGGATTATTTTCTTCTCTAATATTCTCTCCTTCCACCTCTTTCCATCTCTCTAACCATGTTCTGTCATCTTCTTTCGTCTCCACTTACAGCACCCCCCTCCCCTCCTCCCAAATCGTGCCCCTTTCTTTGGGCTCCTGACTCTTTCTGCAGCCTTTCTACTGCTACTCCTTGGCTCCTTCTTATTGCTGTCTTTCAGCCACACCTCTGAATTAAGGGTAGGTAATATCTAACGCCTAGCCTTTTCGGATAAGGGCTGAAAATATCGGAGGTTCTTTGTGCAAGTTGCGTCTGTTAAAGAACTCTTGGTGGTCCAAGATCAATAAGAAAAGGCTTCGGCCACCATCCTGGCAAATTTTTAAAATCAATGCCTACCTAACCAATAATGTTTAATGCGTTTCGCGCGCTCATATGACCTTACGCAGTTGTGAGCGCCGTAAAACATTTACCAAAACAAAAATAACCCCGACTTAAAGCTTCTAAATAATAATTTTAAAGTGTTCATAGGAGCGCTCAACGTGTACCAAAGTCACCTAATATATTTAAATGTAATTAATTAGTTAAAAGACGACTTAAATACAACCAATATTATCAGTGAGTGTTTCTATCCATTTCCAATTATTAGTCCACGCCCGAGCGCTAAAGATCAAGTGATTTTATATAAAATAACAAACTACCAGGGTTGTTTTTTTTACGTAATAAAATTGGTTTGGCTTGGGGTTGGAACTTATATTAAGGGAAACAACTGTTAAAATAACCAAATTGACTATGGCGCGGAAGAGTGATTGGTTCCCTTAATGGTGATTGTTGTTACAACCACCGAATAATGAAAGAACATTGAGCAATTGAATCATTACGGTCATTCATACTTTTCAGCAGTAACAAAAGCAATGATAAGGTTAGAAGCAATAACAACAACAAAAACAAATACAACAACAACAACAACAACAACAGTAACAATAACAACTACAACAACAAAAGCATCAACAACAGCAGGAGCAACAACAACAATAATAATAAAAGCAGTAACCACACCAACAACCACAATTAAATCTAAAGCACTAACAACAACAACACCACCACCACCAACAACAACAACAACAACAACAACAACAACAACAACAACAACAACCAACATTTCTACCTAATCCTTGTACAAATCGTTTGAGGAAGTTGCTGAAGTTCCCCTCCAAGCAGTATGCACTGAAGCCCTTGAAATGATGGAAGAACGACACGGCGACATCCTTGGGATTCCTGTATACAAACACTATCTTGGCCTTCCCCTGAACAATGGAAGATGGTTATTATTATTGTAAGCACATGTTGGGCCGTTAGTGTTCGCTACCTCAGAGTTACAAACTTCTATCTGCTCAATACCTAGTTTTAAGAAACTTGACGTCAAATATTTTTAGTTTCACATAATTTTTATTGTGTCAAGCTTTTTTTAACGCAGTTCTTTCAATAGCTTGATAACGATTCCGAAAAGTCTTGCAATTTTAACAGAGCAGATAGAGCATTTGCTTTGTGACTTCATGGTCTTAGTAACTCAAAAGGGCCCAAAATGTTGGAATTTGTAATTCTGAGGTAGCAGTACGTCCATTTGTCTCAATGTTTGTCTTGCCTAATTCAGACCTGTGCATACTTTGGTCATACCAAACGCCACTATACCATAATGAACAAAAAATGTGCCTCGACGAGGTGGAATCATGCGCTCGACAATCTTTTAGCATATAATAGATATTAAATAATTTTAAAGCTCGTTCTTCTGTCTGGTTTTTGGCGGAAAAAATACCCATCTAATGTGAATAGAAGTTAAGATGTTTGCGATTGAAGGAGGTGGTGGTTGACGTGTGTGAGAGGTAAAATTAACAATTTTAAAAACGTGAGTTCGTCCTTGGAAAGTGGAAATTTATTTTGGTGCCCTTATTCAAAGTTTTTCGTAAACATCCACACAAAAATGTGTTTTTAAAAGGACATATTAAAAAGTGATTTGATCCAATCTGCCAGGATCTACCCGAGCTGGATGGAATACCGACAGACGCAAATTCAAGGTAAAAACGTTTAGACACAAAAAGGAAGTAACGTTCATTAACTTGAAGGCACAGCTACAGTCTATGCTCGAGTATCGATTCCCACCTGTAAGGTCCAATTTACAAGTACAGTCAAAGATAGAACATAACAAGATGGGCCACTCGGCCAAAAAAAGTGTCCGCCGGAAGTTTGCTCTTTGCTTCAGATGGCGCTGCAGTCTGATTTGAAGCTCTCTTTCATTTCTCCAGAAGAAGAATAGGAATTTAATAGCACCCCCTTGCGTGCGCAGATCGACTGCTGTTAATCAGCTGTTCGGGTTCGTTCAGTGCGGAGTTTTAGGGTTTTTTTTACTTTTGATGACCTTTCGCCTTTCATTCTAAAGTCAAATTAAACGAAGAAAACAGTCACCCTTTCCTCCAGAAGAGGTTTTTTGTCAGCGTAACCATTTTTAAAAAGCGTTCTTCCGAAATTTAAATACATATTTATTCAAAAACTTGTTAGTTTCACTTTGATTTTTTTAATACAAGTAGGGTAACTCTGTTCGCAAAGGGTGCGCATTTGTGAAGGGTGCGCCACCGAATTTTGCGGACACTTTTTTAATTGGCTCTAAGAGAGGAGTGGCCCCTCTTGTTATGTAGACTCTTTGGTACAGTTCATTGATCGACAAACTGTAGCATATCGAAAGAATGGCCGGCATCCTGTCAACCTCCCGGTAAAACTGAGCGTGAAAACGAGCAATCCTCTCGCTATCAAAGAGTTCTCAGTCCAACCACCAGATGTCTGGCGACGCCAGATATTAGCCGGCCGACAAACTGATTGCCTGACGACTAGGGAGAGGCTTCTTTGATGTTGCCCCAGACGGAGTTGAAAATGCATTCCAAAATTTTCCTAAATATTGATCAAATCAAAATAAATTTTTTAAAAAGATTTTCGTGATAGGCGACCCAAAATTAGTCAAAATCACGCGGGGAACATAATTTAATGCCCGATTACCATGTAAATGTGTGTATGTATGTGTGTGTTTGTGTGTGTGTGTGTGTGTGTGTGTGTGTGTGTGTGTGTGTGTGTGTGTGTGTGTGTGTGTGTGTTTTGTGTTTTGTGTTTTGTCAAGAACTGACACTTTAAGGATAAAAAAAAACTGTACGTCTAAATGGAACTTCTCTCGTCGACAAACTTTCAGTTCAACGGTGACCCAGATCTAGCGTCTGACGGTTAAACTGTCAGTTTGTCGATGAATGAACTGTACGTGTAAAGGGACCTTAAGAAGTGAGGAAAATTAAAGTAAAGTACCTTTCCCAAGAACACAACGTTGGGCTTTAGGCTAGAACCTTCAAACCCGCAACCTCACGATTACGAGTCCGGTAGTCTGATGAAATGGTGAAATCGTGTAGGTTTAACGCCCCGATCCCTATCAACACTATTGGGTTATTTAAGAAGCGAGACCTCCGAGTTTAACGTCAATCTCCTAAAGGACCGAGCCAAGAGGGAAATTCATGTAAACTGTATTTTCCAGGGACACAACGTCGGACCAAACTAAGGCTCCAGCCCCCGAACTCGCTATCTCACGATTACGAGTCAAGTATCCTCGCCACTAGACTTCCAACGCCATTCTGGTAACCTTACCACTAGACTACAGACGCCACATACTATTTATCATTACATTTTTATCGCCAGTACATAAACAACCTTCATCAAATCTGCCGGCATGTGCTCCGGACGTTCGTGGATGTTGAGGATCCTCGGGGAGGGCAGACCATGGAAGTATTCCCTCGAGTGGATCTCCACCATGCCCGTCTCTTTGTCCACGGCGTCAAGGGTGACTCTGTCGTCCAACAGGAAGCGAATGTTTTGCCACAGCCAGTGGCAGCCTGGGAGAGACCAAGGACTGGTTTGAAGTATCATGATAATAACATAATGATTTGAAAACTAGAAAAATAATTGGTCACTGCTCCTTTTCTGGTGGCTTGTGCCAAAATTGCATATAAATAAGCAATTATCGGCTACTTACTTACTTTTTACTTTTTCATCCTCTGTTGCCGTTAAGCGTCGAGGGGAGATGCAGTTTTCTATGGTAGGCCATCTCCGCAGCTCTTTCAGTTTTGATGTTATGTTTTCTTAGGGTTTCCGTGACACCCTCGACCAACTTTTGCGTGGCCTTCCTCTTCCTTTATAGCCTAAGTGCTTGGTGTTGTAGGCTCTAGAGGCTGGCTGGCCAGGTGACATGCGTAACAGGTGGCCACATCATTTTATCCTCTGTCTTTCTATGTAACGCAGGTAGGACTCAGTGTGGATAGCTGCTCTTACTTCTTCATTTCTCTGCCTGTCTCGCCTTGTGATGTTAAGGGTTTTGCGGAGGCATTTCATTTCGCATGCGGTGATTTTGCTTTCATTGGTATTGCTTAAAATCCAGATCTGGCACTGAAAACATAATGTTGGTATGAATATTGAGGTGATAAGCTGTCTCTTTATGTCCATGGAGATGTTTGGATGAGATAGAAGGAGTGCAAGCTGGTAGGTGACAGCGTTGGTTTTTTGAGTTCGCATTTCTATTTCTCTGTCTATGAACCCGTTTTCAGAAAAAGTGCTGCCAATATATTGAAACTCCTTCACCTGTTTCAGTTGTTTACTATTGACATGGATGTTCAAGGGACTATGATTTCGGCTCACTTCCATAACTTCTATTTTTGATGTGCTTATTTTCACGTTGAATTTCTCACAGGTGTTGTTGAGTTCGGTAGTGTGATTTTGGAGGCTTTGTTGGTCATGATGAATAAGACATTGGTCGTCTGCGAACAAAAATTCATTAGGCTTTCTGGACTTTGGTTTGCGTCTTTCGTTATTGTATCCATATATATTATAAACAGGAGGAGAGATAGAACGCATCCCTGTCGTACTCCAGATCTTACTTTGAACCAGTCTGTATTGCCTTCCTTTGCTCTTACTGAGCTTCTGCTGTTGGTATATAGAGCTCTGACATTATCTAACATTTGTCCTCTGATGCCATACTTTTCGAGTGTCTTCCAGAGTTTTGCTTGGTTTACTCTGTCAAAAGCCTTCTCCTGGCCTATAAAGACAAGGTTGGATTATTTGTTGGGTTCGATTGTTTTCTCGCATATCTGTCGTAATGCGAATACAGCATCTGTGCATCCTCTTCCCTTTCGGAATCCAAACAGAGCTGTGCTCAGATTTCTCTCTACAATATGTCTTATGCGCTGCTCTTGTATCTTTGCGAATTACCGGCTGACACTGATGATAATGTTTAAGCTAGAGACATGATAGCGTTATGATTTTATAAGAAGATAGATGATTAATCGATGATGATAAAAATGACCTTCTGTATCTTTCTGTGTTACTCTGCAGAAGCATGGACCTCCTTCTTCTTATCAATCTGAGTTAACAAAGGAGGTTGGCTGTCAAAAAAGATGGAATTGATATCTCTATAGCAAACGATATTGTAACTTTAATTGAAAAAAAGGGAATGTAGATTTTGAAATAGCTGTCTACCAATGAATCCCAAGCCCAATAGTCTGTTGTGACAGAGGAGACGCTCCCTTTTTAATTTGTTTTTTCGTGTTTTGTCCATTTCGTTTTCCTGGATGTTTGGAGTTCGTGTTTTGAGTTGCCCATTGTCTTCTGTTCCAGTGCAATAGTTCCCCATTTAAACATTTAACTAACAACTTGAATTCGCGCATTCATTCTTAAAAATTGAGAGAGTCGCGAATTCAAGTCGCGAGTGAGAAAAAAATCTCGAAAAAATGCGTGTATTTCAGTTTCTCGAAAGATTTTTTTTTTTAAGGAATAAGGTTGAGAAGTAGCACTAGCAGCCCTGTTAACGACCTTTCGCGTGTAAACACTTGCGCGAAGCATAATAAGAGGGGCAGTGACCAATTATTGTTTTAAGTTTTTTGTTGTTTTTTTAAAGTCATCATCATCGTGGTCATTGTTACCATCATCACTTCTCTTCCATCGCGGTTGCTTATTACTAATTGACCTCAATATGCATTTCGTGTTTGCTCTTTTAATTATTTGACTTTTTTTTCTTATTCTAGTAACGGGTTTTTTCCGCATTTTTGTTTTCTATGTTTTTTAATTTAAAAAATACAATAACTGCATAAGGTTCCTGGCATGTGTTAGCTTGATAATCAACAAATGCTTGAATGCAGAACAAATGTGGACCAATGCAGCACGAAGTGTGCTGTCGCATATTCCTGCAAAACAATTCTTGTCATCATTACATGCATAAAGCGTAGATAAGGGCTGCACAAAAACTATATACACGTATTATTATAGTCTGTTATGACACAGCAGTGACTGCATGCCAGAGTCACTTGTCATCACAGGCTTGAAGGGGTCGGGAAAATAAGGGGTTCTTCGAGTCACCTTGAGACCGCTTCGAGAAGAGGAAAAAAACCCAGCTGGGCTGTTATTATTCCGGTGATTAATATAACTGTTGTTCTCATGATGTTCCTTCTGCTGCTGCTGCTGCTGCTGCTGCTGCTGCTGCTGCTGCTGCTGATGATGATGATGATGATGATGATGATGATGATGATGATGATGATGATGATGATGATGAGGAGGAGGAGGAGGAGGAGGAGGAGGAGGAGGAGGAGGAGGAGGAGGATTATGATGATGATGATACGACTTCTGTTGACGGTGATAATAATAACTAAGCTTGGATAATTTGTACGAACCATCACTCTGGTTTAAACCCACCTAGTCCTATATTTCATTCAAACGCTATGTTGTGCGATCTCCCCCTTGACAGGCGTCGACATGCCAAGAACTCTATTTTTAGGAGAAAAAAATGCATAACCCAAACTAATGCTCTGACCCTGACCCTCCATTTTTCTGACCTCGACAATTATGTCCACAAACCCAGCACAAACACAACAGTCTATTGTGACGACAGAACAGTGCGTGCTGCTCTACTTAGCATGATAATTTCAGTTTCTGGAAAGCAATCTAAAAAAGAGTGCATTATGTAGTTCGAGAAGGTTAAGAAGGAGCACTGATAGGCTTGTTCACTTCCCCTGAGTCATTGACACCCACGTGAGGCAAGAACGGAGTAAGTGACCATATTCATATTATTCTTCTGGGGTTTTTTTTTCATTTTTTTAAAGCTTAAAAAGCTTTATTACCATTGTTAATGTTATCATTATAGCTATATTATTATATTATTATTCTTCTTCTTCTTCTTTTTCTTCTTCTTCTTCCTCTTCTTCTTCTTCTTCTTCTTCTTCTTCTTCTTCTTCTTCTTATTATTATTATTATTATTATTATTATTATTATTATTATTATTATTATTGTTATTATTATTATTATTATTATTATTAATGTCATTATTATTTGTATTATTATTATTATTATTATTATGTTGTGACGTTAGAACAGTGCCCATTGCTATGCTTTGCATACTTATTTCAGTTTCTGGAATTAGAAAGAATAACAGAAGGTTAAAAAGAAGCACTGGTAGCCTTGTTCACGACCCCCTGAGTCTTTGACACCCACGAGAGGCAAGAAGTTTAAGGGGGAAGTGACCAAATTGTTCTTCTGTGTTTAGTTGCTTTTTTTTTTTTGTTGCTTTTTTTCTTTTTTTTTTCTTTTTTTTTTTTTGTTTGCTTTTATAAAAATCCTTTTTCGTTTGTTTGTTGGAAGTGTCTAAGTAGACCTCAATTGGGGTCTACGTAGTCATGGTGGCAAGGTGCTCCCAAAAATGTTGGATTGTGACCTCTGACCCCTTGTTGAATTTTTTTAAGGAAGCGATAAGTGGGTCCAATGCCTCCCAGAAGATACAGTGGAAGAGGACAGGAGTTTAGCTAATACCGTACTGTAGGACAAACTTTTAAAGGTTTCTCTAAATTTGAACAGCTGTTAAAGAAAAGAGAAGAAAAACTGTTTGATGTAATTCAGGACTTTATGGACGCAGGGAAAAACAAATGAACAAATTTGCCACCTTCTAAACGCAAGAGCAGAATTGTTACAAGAGATAAAACTAGAAAATTAACGTATTTCATACACATAAAATGCCATTCCTTAATCTGCAGGATTACATTAGAGTGTAAAGTGGAGGGAATAAGACCTAGAGACAGATGATGATAGATTGGGGTCTACGGGAACCATGGTGGCTAGGTGCTCCCCAATTAGGGTCTACCTAGACACTTCCTTGTTTGTTTGTTTGTTTGTTTGTTTTTGTTGGGGGAGGGGTTGTTTTATCGTTATTACTGCAAACATTTCAATTGTCATTAATATTATTTTAACCTTATTATTATTTTGCCAATGTTGTCTTTATATTGATGTGTTCATTGTTATTGTTATTATTATTATTATTATTATTATTATTATTATTATTATTATTATTATTATTATTATTATTATTATTATTATTATTATTATTATTATATGTTGTGACTCCAGAACAGTGCCCATTGCTATACTTCGCATTCTAATTCTCTTTTCTGGAGAAACAAAATTTCGATTATTAAAAGGTTAAGAAGAAGCACTGGTAGCCTTGTTCACGACTCCTCTCAATTACTGACACCCATCTGAGGCAAGAAGGGAGAAGTGACGAAATTCTTCTTCTAGTTCTAGTTTTTGTTGTTTGGGGGAGGGGGCGGTTGTTTGTTGTTTTTGGTTTTGTTTTTGTAAAGTGTTTTACGGCGCTTGCAAAGGCATAAGGTCATATGAGCGCGCGGGACACACCCAATATTTTTAGTTGGTAGGAAATTTTGAATTTTTCCCGGGTGACGGCCGAAGCCTACTCTATCGATTTTAGACCACCAAGGGATCTTTAACGTGCGCAACGTGCACACGGGCCCTCCGAGATTTTTTGCCCTTGTCCGGGAAGGCTAGGTGTAGATCTTTCCTACCAGAAGATCAGGGGTTTGGCTGAAAGACAGCAGTGAGAAGAAGCGAAGGAGTAGCAGTAGAAAGGCTGCAGAAAGAATCAGGAGCCCAGAGGAAGGGGCAAAGGAGGTGAGGGGGTGGGGGTAGAAAGAGGAGACGAAAGCAGACGACAGAACAATGCTAGAGACCAGGAAATGAGGGGAAAGGAGACAAATTTAGAGAAGAAAATTTTTCGGTCGCTACCCGGATTCGAACCCGGGACCTTTTGAATGAGAGGCCAACACCTTAACCTCGAGAGCCCCGTTTGTTGTTTGTTTATTTGATGTTATTGTTTCTATTTCAAATCGGTATTATTACTTGCATTGCCATTACTATTTAATTACAGCCTTTTTATTATTATTGATGTCATTATTGTCTTAATCATTATTGTTTTAGTAGTAGTAGCAGCAGCAGCAGCAGCATTTGTAGAAGCAGCAGCAGCAGCAGCAGCAGCAGCAGCAGCAGCAGCAGCAGCAGCAGCAGCAGCAGCAGCAGCAGCAGCAGCAGTAGTAGTAGTAGTAGTAGTAGTAGTAGTAGTAGTAGTAGTAGTAGTAGAAGTAGTAGTAGTAGTAGTAGTAGTAGTAGTAGTAGTAGTAGTAGTAGTAGTAGTAGTAGTAGTAGTAGTAGTAGTAGTAGTAGTAGTAGTAGTAGTAGTAGAAAGAGCTTTTGTAGTAGTAGTGCTCGCTGTTATACTTTGCAGACTAATTTTAGTTTCTAGAAAGTGATTTTTTAAAAAGAGTTCTCCTCCTCCTCCACCTCCTCCTCCTCCACCTCCTCCTCCTCCTCCTCCTCCTCCTCCTCCTCCTCCTCCTCCTCCTCCACCTCCTCCTCCCCCCTCCTCCTCCTCCTCCTCCTCCTCCTACTCATCATCATCATCATCATCATCATCATCATCATCATCATCATTATCATCATCATCACCATCATAATCATAATCATAATCACATTCATAATCATTATCATAATTACCTGATTTAGGATAGGAGCACAAAAGGACGTCATCATCTCGCAGAGGAAGTGACGTCAGATTGATGAGTGTGTCCAGTTCAAACTTGTATCCCACCCCGGCAAAACGCCCGTCCGGCAGTCTCAGCATCTTCATGCCACAGCCGTCCTCGGCCACCACCCACTCTTCTGTCATGCTGGGATGGAAAGTTTAGTATTCTCCACCTGCCAAATATATGGGGTAAGTTTAATTTTCTATATTAATGATAATAATATTGAGAAGAGAAGAAGAAGAAGAAGAAGAAGAAGAAGAAGAAGAAGAAGAAGAAGAAGAAGAAAGCTAATTGCAAAACTGTAGTCTTCGCCAAAATCCCACAGCGTACGATCCCAGTGCGCTTAAGATCCCTCCGTTGCAACAAAACAGAACTTCTACTAAACAAAAATCACCCCTAAGATCCCGCTCTGAAGGGGTACATTCAGCTAAGATCCCACATTTCAGATCATGAATTTAATTTACGGGATAAAAACCCGGGCGGGCGCAGCTGGTCAACAGAGCAACGAAGATCTGTTATAGTTGAACTGCCAGTTGCAAACTCTCGTGAACGTGATAATGTCTCCGATATAAATTAAATCGTGATGAATCGGCACAATGTTTCCCTTATTTCGGATCACACCGAGTTGTGAACTCCCCGATGCGTTGGTTTACCCGAAAATATTGCTCTCGCATCTGAGCTCTCCACCTGTGCTTGCAATACAAGCAGGGCTCTTGTGGTCTAGAGGTTACGGTGTTCACATCTTATTCAATACGTCCCAGAGTCGAATCCGGACATCCTATGAATATTTTCTTCTCTCAAATGTTCTCCTTTCACCTCCTTTCCTGCTCTCTAACAATGTTCTGTTGTCTGCTTTCGAATCCATTTTCTGCTCCCACCCTTTCACCTCCTTTTTCCCCCTCCTCTGGGCTCCTTACTCTTTATGCAGCCTCTCTACTGCTGCTCCCTGGCTCATTCTTACTGCTGTCTTTCTGCAAAACCACTCATCTTATTGTAGGTAAGATTTAATACTTAGCCTTCTCGGACAACAGCGAAAAATCCCGGAGGCCCGTGTGCAAGTCGTGCATGTTAAAAATCCTTTGGTGGTCCAAAATCTATAAAGTAGGCTTCGACCGCCATCCAAGCAAAATTCAAAATTAATTCTTACCAAATTAAAAACGTTTACTGTGTCCCACGCGCTCATATAATGACCTTATGCAGTTGCGAGTGCCGTAAAACTCTTACTAAAGCAGAACAAAAAATGTGTCACACGCTGGGTGGATAGGACCTACAAATCCGCATCAGACGGGATAAAGTCGAAATGAGAACTTTTCAATGACCGTTGCTCCAGTGTGTTGTCTCTGTTCCCGAATGTACTGCTAGACATGAGTGGATTTTAATTGGCGCTGTCCATAGCGAGCTGTGGTGTGGTCACAACACAATGGTATGTTGGGACAGAGGGGGAGGGGAACTCAGTCAGAGATAGGAAAGCCATGACTAATTTTGAGCCGGTAAAAGTATGGAGCGACACGTTCAGCATAGATCTTGAGACACACAGTAAGATAATGTGCCAGTCGCATGCCATTGTTGAGATTAGCCTTCAAGATTGACCACTCCCTGCTCGCATTAAGTCATAAACCCACCCAGGGGTCACACGCCACCTCATAACAGAGTAAGGGGGGGGGGGGGGCATTTGATCGACTGTGAGTCTGAACATAGATCACCGCGTACCCCCCCCCCCCCTCCCTCTTTGGTGCGTCTGCTAAGATGCTAAGATCTCCTTCGCCTTTTATCCCGCAATTTCCTTGTTCACAGGCACTGGGATCTTTGGCGAAGACGACTGTATTGACAACAACAACAACAGCAGCAACAACAACAACAACAACAATAAGAGTAATAATAATAATTAATAATTGCATTTTTATAGCGCATATCCATGCTCAAGAGCATGCTCTATGCGCTTTACAACTATTATTACCCCAGCAGACCCTCTGAGAACACTCAGAAACATTCTCAGCTTCCGCGGAAGCATACAGTGCAGGCTGCGGATTTCACGCGCTCAAACACTATCAAACTGACAAGATCTTTCACTGTCTATAGCCGGGTACCCATTTCCACCTGGGTGAAGTGAGGAAAATGTGTGCAAAGTGCCTTTCCCAAGGACACAACGTCGGGCCCCTGACGGGATTCGAACCCACGACCTTACGGTTGCGAGTCCGAGAGCCTAAGAGTAATAATATCAATAGTAATAATAGTAGCAATAGTAATAATAATAATAATAATAATAATAATAATAATAACATCAATAATAATATTAATATTAATATTAATATAACAACAGCAACACTAATATTATTAATGATAATTATAATCATAATATAATGATAATTTTTTTTTAAAAATAATAATAATGATACCAAAAAAAATACAACAACAACAACAACAACAACAACAACAAATAATAATAATAATAATAATAATAATAATAATAATAATAATAATAATAATAATAATAATAATAATAATAATAATAATAATAATAATAATAATAATAATAATAATTGTCTGAGCATTAACATAGAGCGCTTATCCACGCTCTACAGCATGTTCTATTTGCATTTAAAGTATTATAATCCCAGCCCCAGCAGACTCAAGAACACTCAGAAACATTCTCCTCTTTCGCAGATACATACAGTGCAATCTGCAAAGTGCACACACTCAAAAACTAACAGAGTGACAAGATCTTTCAATGTCCATAGCCGGGCATCTGTTCCCACCTGGGTGAAGTGAGGAAAACTCGTGTAAAGTGCCTTTCCCACGGACACGACAGCGGGCCCCAGACTGGATTTGAACTGTACTAAAATGTAAGTAATGTAATAAAGCTCCATCTGCTCAGTACCTACTTTGGAGCTATTTGACGTTAAATATTTTTAGTTCCTCAACATGTCAAGATTTTTTTAATGCGATTCTTCGCATGCCGTGATAACGATTCCGAATAATCTGACGATATTGATAGAGCAGATAGAACATTTAGTTTCTGACTTCATGGTCTTAGTAACTTAAAACGACCACAAATGTTTGATAGAACCTTATAATTCTAAGGTAGCGAAAAGTGTTTGTCACCTCCACAATTCGGGCAAAGCGATAGAGAGCGAAAATTTAAGAGATGTCAGCCGGGGAATGGCTAATTGTTCGGGCTATCCGTGGTTTCGAGTTTTACGTGTTCGTGTTATCTGTGGCTAACTGTAACTAGATAGTTACTAATATTATACTGGAGATCAAAAGAAAGGTACCGCTTTTTGATTGCGTAAAAGAACCTAGACTTTTGAGTCTTCACGCTTTTCCTTTCACACGAATAGTACTATGTATTATAGTCTAAAATGTAGTAATGTAATAAAAATAACATTATGGTTCTTCAGTTCCTGTTCCCAGCACCAACGTCAAAAAAAAAATGGTGATTTTACCGCGCTTACCTATTAGTTTGACTAGTTGATATCACTCATGTGAAAAGGAAAACATGAACACTCAACATTCTAGATTTTTCTACCGCAATCAAAAATTGGTTCCTTTCTTTTGCTGGCCAGTATATAGAACTTGCCTGAATTTTTTTGGTATCATGCCACACGTTGACAGTATAAATCCCCAAACATCTATAAATACAATAAATTTTGGGGTCGTTTATCCCAATTACCGGACGGATATCTTCCTTGAAAGTGATTTTTATTATAGGCTCAGTGACAGAAATATGCAATGTTTGACCCATGATAAAAGATATGTGCACAACTTGTACTTTTTCGTTATGGAAACTTTATTTAACATATGGGTGTTTTTTATGATGTGATGTGGGCCAATGGCCTTAAACACTGAGTAAACTTACTTACTTACTTACTTTATTATAGGCCAACGGCACTACTTACCTGAATCAATACAATCCTTTGATAAGGACACCGGGTTGCAGTCAGAGCAATCAATAAACTCAGCCGAGAAAATTTCAATTCAAGAAAATGTGGCCTACTTTCTTTTTCACCTAACAGAACCATGTGACGTATGCAAATTGGCGTACTAAGAAAGAAAAAGAAATAATAACCACGGATGTATAAACATTGCGGAGCAAATTTCAATTTTTAAAAAATGTAGTCTAATATTTTTTCTCTCCGCCAAGCAGAATCGTGCCGCGAATGCTATCTGGATCGCTTAGATTTTTTTTTTTTAAGGCCGACCACGGAATCTAAGGCAAAGTGCCAAGTGAAGAGATCTCGACTAGACCAAAAAAACTTGTCTCTGACAAATATTATCATCTTAGTCATACATTATTGCTGGGTTTGTTTTATTTTGTATTGTTTTTTATTTTGTTTAAGCACACTTGATTGTTTTTCTTTTCCCTTAATAATTGAGAGGGGGGAGTTTATGTGGGGGTTTTCTTCGGTTGTTTTTTTTTTAATCATCACACTTAATTGCTTTTCTTTTCCATAATAAAGTGACACTTAACTGTATATTTTTATGCAGTGACACGTTTTACTGTCTCTGTCAGGGCAGCCTGTGTGGGCATAAACCAGTCAATAATTTTAGTGACTCTTGGACAGGGGCGGTTTGTTAAATGGACAAGACCGGCGGTGTCGGTCAGATTTTTTTCAGCTGGACTGTTGATAGGAGATTTATTGCTGATGATGATTTTTATTGAGTTTTAAGTAAATCCAAACAAACATGTATCAACATCCAAAAGCACCTTGCCGATTTGAAGGCGCTCATATAGAGAAGTGGGATTCACTGCTGTTTATTTGTCGCGACAGAGCCTCATTCCTTCACGTTTGTTATCGCGCCGGCTCGTAACTTTAAATCGTCTCCCCTCCCATCAAGCCGTCACTTCGCGGAACTTCGTAGGCTACTACGTACGAGGCCAAACACACGGCGGGCTTTGGCCTAGCGATGACGTCAGTCCCATGGACAAACCCATCGACAGCCCTGAGAAGGAATAGAGGGCATCCCTTAAATTGCCGAATTGGCCTCTTTGTAGCTTACAAAATTAAGATTGAGACTGTCTTGAGCAGCACAGACACATGTATCATTTTATCAGCAAAACATGTATTTATCATTCAGCCTTTCTCTAAATACTATCAGAACATTTATTGTTGGCATGGCACTACTCTTTTTTGTTTATTGACTTTCTAACCACCTATAGTTCCTGTT